GCGAGGTGTTTAGGCTCAATAGCATCACTGGAGCAGTAAAGTCCAGGGCAGAGATCACAGTGGAAGGTGATATCAGCAGCTCTGTGCTCTACTTGATCAGCTTACACTGGATTAGAGTGAAAAATAGTTCAACCAAAAATGTAATCTACTCACCCTCATGTTCTAAACCTAATTTTGACATTTAGGCTGCATTTAACTCTGAGAAATTATTTAATATTCATCTAATCTGAGAAGTCAGATGCTTGTATTAATATCTTGTTGGGCTGGTCTTTGGCTGCATTTAGTTTTGAGGAACTAAATGGCAAAATAGCCAGCTGGAGATGGACTGAGAACACAAAGGACTCCTCCTGCGATGATGAGGAGTTACTCAAGGTAGTCACTCATGTAGGGGCCAGATTACAGCTAGACTGGCCACAGGAAAAAGAGCAAGTGCTTAAAGTAAGAGCAGACCAATAGGCCTCAGCGACGGTCTCTCCTCTTCTTCCCGTGTGTTTGTGCCCTCGCCGTCAACATATTCGACAATCGTGGGTGCAAGGGCACAAACAAAAATGTTTTTTTTTTTTTCCCATAGTGCTGTTTGCGCAGCATCTTAAATCTGCTTTTTCATGGAACAGGGTTACAGTCAAGTCACCAAAGACTTGGATGGAAATTTGGCAACTGATGGCCTCTCAAGTCAGGTTTTAAATTAATTCCGTGAACTGACAAAATTGAAATTAAACTATCTTTAATGTAGATAACATCACATTGAAATTACATATCTGCATGAAAAAAAAAAATGTATTAATGTGCCATGACATCCAAAACTGACACCAGCTCATGGGATTATTTTGAAATCTGTGGTGGTCTAAATTCCCAAGCAGAGAATAAAAGACCTTCTTTTTCCCCTCTGTGGGCCTGATTAAACACAAAATGCACATTTATTAAGTTTATAACTATTAAGTTATAATCAGTCACAATCGATGATCTCTAATATGCCTTCTACTCTATAGTGATTTTGCAAGCCCTGCTAATTTGCTAGTAATATTAATATTTCCACTGTATCAATTTTAATAAGGGTAAGATGTTAAAAGAATATATATAATATACTGTGTGTGTGTGTGTATATATATATATATATATATATATATATAGACCATTTTGCAAGATGTAAACAACACTGGTCCAGAAACATATACTGTTTTATCCGTTTTCTTTATTTCACATGTAAAGAAAACATCTTAAAGATGTTGTTTAACTTTTTGATTAAGTTTTACATGTTTTGTTGGTTGTATTTTATCCCAGCTTTTATGTAGTGTTTATGGAAGTGCTTCTGGACCAGTGTTGTTTACATCTTGCAAAATGGTATATATATATATATATATATATAACGAACCAATCAAGTCAGACAGACACTGGCATGAGTCACTGAAGAGTCACTGGCACCTTGACCATGCACCAATGAATAAACAAATTAAATCATAGATGAGACATACGCCATGTCTGAAACCATCAAAGGACTGTACTATGCATTCAACCTGAAATCTGCACAAACTAGACAAACAAACAAAAAACATTACCATTGGACGTGAGATCAAATTAATCAAGTCTTTGGAGGAGCTGCATCTTAAAGTAAATGGAGGCCAATCATAAAGTGATTTAGTTATACTACAATAATTTTACATAGGAAAAAAGGCATGTTAGTAAACCACAAAAGTCCCCACAATAAAAACCTCTAATGCTCAGGATGAATTGACAATCAGCTAGTATTACTGAAGCCAAACAGCATTTAGGCTGAATTTAGGACATGCCAAGGCAGTGCTAAAGCTGTTATGCAGCTTCATATTCATTTCTCCTTGTAATGTACTCTCTTCAGTCCAGTGAGAGGGGATGAATTCATTACAGCTCTCGTATCGATCTGACAGGCCTCAGCTGAGTCAACTGGAAGAGAATTCTCTCCAAATGTCCATAAACACATCTTTTACCACAAAGCTCATCCAGGGAGTTCTTAGAAGAAGAATGGATGGGCAGACAGATGGACAAGCAGACAGACTGAAGTACAGTATGCAAGGATGTGCATAGATAGACAGACTAACCCATGGATGGATGGGTGGATGGATAAACAAATGGATGGATGGATAGACTGGTGGACATAGAGACAAATCAATGGATGTGCAAGGATATACATGCATAGATGGATGGATGTATGGACGGACGGATGGATGGATGGATGGATGCACACAAATAGACAACCCATGTATTGATGGACGGACGGACGAATAGATGACTGGTCAGGCAGAAGGATGAATGGTCAGGAAGATGGATGAACAGACGAATGGACAAAAAAATGAAGGATTTAAACACTCAAATAAACAGACAACCCATGGATGGACGGACGGACAAACAGATGAATGGACAAACAGGTTGATGGATGTAAGCACAGAGATGGACGGACAGCCAGCCAGACAAACTGATAAGATGGGCTGACAGATTTTAATGGGTGGATGGACAGACCGACGACAGTCAGGCAGATGGACGGTCAGTGGATGGATAGATGGACAAGATAACAGGCTAAAGTTCATATAAATTTCATCCCTTATACCATGGCACTCATGAATTTCATCATCCCTCATACTCATGGCACTTACCAGCCATCAATTAACTTCATCAACAGTCAAAACCAATCAAACGTCTGAGACTTCAATCTGTTTTAACTAGGAAGAGACACTAGACAACCAAGACATGAACAGAGAAACTCATGGAAATCGCTCAACCATTAAAGGCCTTCCAGGAACAACTGCGCTTAAAAAGTGGATCCACTCAGCATTTAGACCAGCACAAGACGAAGTGATTAGAATGATGCATATACAGTTTAATCCTGCCACCGGGTCGATGCTTTTGAATGGCTCAGATTGGTGAAACGCTGGTCTAGCGGGAACACTTTTCTCTTAAAGTGAGAAAGAACAGCACTGCAGAAGAAAACCGCTTACATCCTCATTCCTATAACTAACACATGATTGATTCACACAACAGGACATGCAAGAGGTAGATAAAACAATACAACAATGTACAGAGAGTGTAAGAGAGTGAACAAAGAGAACATACAGATGAAATCATCAACGGCACTCATCCAAGCAAAAGCAATGATACATAATCAGACACTTTCCTACAGTGAGGAACAGTAAACACATTTGTGGCCTCCATGCATGCTGGCAGATGGAGAAGGTGAGTGAGCTGGGACTGAGTGGGTGATGGCCTAAAGACTCAGCACAGAACAGGAAACTGAGGCTGCCCAATGATTAGTCACTGGTACATCACTATCCACCATGATACAGTGAGACAATCAGACGTACAGTTCTGTTCATGACTGTATCCCAAACCAAAATGATGCTTGAAGGAATAGCTCACCCAAAAATGAAAATTCTGTCAACATTTACACATCATTTCTTTCATATGCAGAACCAAAAATAAGATATTTTGAAGAATGTTGGTAACCAAACCATTTTAGTGACTTCCATTGTATGACAGGAAACTAAAAAAAGGAAAAAAAAAATCAGACATTTCTCAAAATATCTTCCTGTAAGTTCCACAAAAGCAAGCAAGTCATACAGATTTGGAATGACATGATAGTGAGTAAATGATGACATAATTCTAATTTTGGATTTTCTGTTCAACTTATGATTATCTACTTTTGGAATAACGATTTAGCTCATTCAAATAGTTTTAGATCATTAGACATGACTGCATGGTACCCTGGAAAGAGTGAAACAGACTGAAACCAGATTTCTTAAAAGGTGTCTTCATACAAGCACCGCCTGTTAATGCACTGACTGTCTGAGCGCAAGACAGCTGCCTTCGGTTTTGGACGCAGCCCAGTTGTCTGAAACCAAATGGAATTAAACTGGCTACATATGTGACCTTGCTATGTATGAAATCCAAAGGATTGTGGGTAGATATGTCCGTATTCTGTCTATTTAGCTTTATAATTATTGGATTTACATTCTGAAATGATATTGGCGTACAACTAGATGGTGAAACAGTCAATAATTGCTAAGAGGCTAGTTTATGGCATCTACGTTATAAAAATTGAAGTAAGATAAATTGTGAAGGATAGATGCAACACTTGGCACTTCCAGATGGTCCATGAAAAGAGAAAATAGGGTAAACAAGAAACCACTGATTTGGGCAAAGAGAGAGGGAAAAGTGCAATTGTTAGTAAGATACAGATTTTGGACCCACCCTCATAAAACTCCAGAACCAATGCACTTGCATTTTGTAATACAACACAGGAATGGAGAGAGGATGGGGATGGGGGGATGAAAAGAGATAATTGAGAGAAAGCATGTAAACAAACAGAATGACTGAGGAAGGATGGAGGGTGAAAATTCATTTCACATCTAGGCCCAAAGATCTGTCAATAGTGATCGAAGCCTGCTGGGTGAAATGATTGTGCATTGGGGGTCTCAGCTGTAAACAATTGATGTAAATCAATCTCTCAATTGATTTAAAGGATAGTTTGCCCAAAAATGGATTCACCCTCATGCCAAAAGTGTTTTGTCCATAAAATGTTGACTTTTATTATATGGACCAACAAACATATACTGAGACCTTCTTCTTGTGTTCAGCAGAATAAACAGTCATACAGGTTTGGACAGAATTTTCCTTTTTCGGTGTCAAATTATGACTGTTTCCAATCATGTTTCCCAGCCAAACAGGAAGTTCTGCCATAAAACCATGCCACTGGCTGGGCCAGTGTAAGAAAACAAAAGATTTCAATGGCTCAATTCGACTTACATTGGCTACTTTGTATGAATTGTCCACTCCCGTGTAAAAACACTTCAGTCACTGTGCTGAAGGTCATGACCCAGTGAAGTGCTGTCAGGATGCAGAGGTTTTTCCTTATGGGTCTCAAATAAACATCCATGACAGTGTGGTGTACTATTGGAGCACTGCATTTCCTAAACCACAGATTTCCTCAATTTACACAGTCCCTTATAAAATACAGTTCTGACCCGTCAGCTTACCTGATAATGACGTACATTACCAGGCAGTTTCCGACCAGCCCCACCACGCAGACGAACATGTAGACCACTGCTATAGTGATCTTGACGCCCCTTGGGAAGAAGCTGTCAGTCCCATTGAAGGAGCTGAAGTTGTTCTGGAACAGAGACTCGTTGTACAGATGGAAGTGTCTGGGGTCAGCAAAGCCGGTGGAATCATTTGAGTACTCCATGAGTGCAGCTATTGCACACACACACAAACACACACACACCAAAAACAACAACACAAAAATGCTTAGTCAAAGTCCCCATACGGTCTATCTCACATGAAAACAGGCATTCAAAGAGATTGTTATTCTACTGGTTTTAGCTGGGTTAATAAAATAAATAAAACAGGTTAAGGATGTGGTTAAGGAAGTTGTTCAGAAAATCTAATTCACCCAGACTTGTATCTAGTGACATGAATACACCTGAAGAACATGTTTTCAATATGTGAATTAAAATTATTTTTCATATTTTTGTGGTAAAATTAAAACAAAAACAAAAACTTTCCTAATCTAGCTGTGTAATAAGCCGAGCATTGTACGAATGGTTGGCTCTTTGAAGAATTGCGTTTGTTCCACTTTTGTAACTCGCTTTTTGATTAAAAGTGTCTCTTAAATGCATGTAAATGTAAACAAAAATATGCAGTTAAGTAATATAGTTTTAAAATATTATTATTTGAAAAACTTTGTCACCAAATCAGTCAGTCTGGTGTTACCAATATGTAGGCAGCCATTTTGTTGTCATGTGACATGACAACAAACCACTAGCCTCTGAAGTTTTATGAAAATACAGATTTTGACCATATTAAAAATTCTTTGTTAGTTCAAATTGAGTATCCATGAGTAAAACTTATTGACATTTATTACTCAGAAATATACTTGTAAAACATGTATTTTACATTGTAAACATGTTTGGAAAAATATGTTTACTTGAAAAAAAAAAAAAACGTGAGCACAAATCTAACATTAAGAACTTGGAATTCTTTTTTTCTTTTTTTAGATTTATCTTTTAGATCTCATACAACATTATTCGTCTTAGCTACAGTTGATGAGGTAGGGGTGATATGCGAGGCGCATTGTGAACATCTACTGCACTGTCAACAGTTTGCGCATGCAATATATTACACAGTTTGGCTACACAGGAAACAACCCATCCATGCGAAATTCCTGGTAACATCCACACCGGACCACACAAAGTATAGCCTACAATATCTTCTATCACATCGCCTCAGGAGGATTCAAATAGAGCAGCACATACCGCTGTTTGGAGAAATCCCGTGTGGTCGCTGAAACGTCTGACTCCTGTCAAGCGACGAATTCTTGTTTCTGCTATTCTTTGTGTTTTAAGCGATCTCAGAGCTCTGTTTCCAACAGCCACAGATATTCACATCCCTGTGCATCTCAGGAAAAAGAGAAACATTTTTTTTTTTCTGAACGAGTGCAGTGGGAGGGGGAGGTGCGCTAAAGCACTTGCTTGTTGTTGCGAATCTTCAGCAGCGACTTACATCTCCACTAGGTATCTCTCTCTCTCTCTCTCTCTCTCTCTCTCTCTCTCTCTCTCTCTCTCTCTCTCTCTCTCTCTCTCTCTCTCTCTCTCAGTCTCTCTCTCCTGGCACGCGCTAACCCAAACGTTGATTACGCAGGGGTGGCGCGCGCATGCAGGTGTCAGTGGCAGGCAAGCGTTTGAACAGGTGTCTTTGGTGGAGAGTCAGTGTAACTGTATGAACTGAATGTTTTAAGAAAAAGTATAATTTCTTTTCATATCATTACTAAAATGTATTATGTTTAACAAGTCAATACATACGGTAAACTACAGTAAACCTTTTTGTATTATGCTTGTGAAATACAACTATATATATATATATATATATATATATATATATATATATATATATATATATAGTATACCGCTCATTTCCATCTAGTTTTAAATTGAAGTTGGCCTAAAACTAAAATCTAAAACTTAATAAAAACTATAACATCAAAAAATATTGGAATTAAAATAAAACCTGATAATTTACAATTGAAATCTAATTCAAAATACAAAATATAAATAAATGCAATAGTATATCAATGATACTAATATACAATATATATATATATATATATACAGTATATATATATATATATATATATATATAAACAGTATAGGAAAATGGCTAACGCAAAAAGATAAATAAAAGGTAATCAGTTGATAGTTATCAGTTATAGTACATTTTACCTATAAAAATAATAATAAGTTGACAAATAACATCAATGTATATGTTATAATCACCCACCTATTTTTCACTTCTCATGACACTTCATGTGCCTCTCTGGCCTCAAGCTCTTATATTCAAGCATCATATGTGATAATTGCAGCAGATTGCAAAGTGCAACAGTTTTAATGGGTAAGTCATTAATGCCTTTTGCAGGATACAGCTGATTTTGTCTTTCCTCAGCCGTGACAGAGATGCTTTCTCAGCTGAATGTCAGTGATGCATGTTGTGTGCTGCCCTTAAATGTTTCAGCTCTGAGAACTTTAATGAGAGTTGACACTCATCAGTCACATAAGAATTGGTTGATTATGTATTTTTTTTTTTTAATGCCTAAAGGAAACTTGCTCAGAGTACTTGGTGCATTAATGTGGACTCATTAACATTTTGCTCCATGATTTGTTTTGCTCTCCTAAGCAGTTTCTCGCACTGTGGACCTAGTTGAGTTAACAGAATATGCAAAGCGTTATATATTAATAGAAAGCAATGTCTTAGAGAGGAACCTGCTCAATGAAATGTTACAATTTGACATGCTTTATTCCTGCACTGCTGTTGGAAACCTGTTTACTACATAGGCATCAGACTGGGTACTGTCCATGGTGCTGAAACATACAAAAGTAAAAAAGACAAGCTCTCAGCTTTTAGCTGAAAACATGCCGAGAGTATAAAGTCATAGGGGAGACCGAGGCAAGCGGTCACATAGAGCTCAGTAAGTTTTGAGAAAACGTTTAATCTACTAAAAATAAAATAAAATAAGCAAAGGTGTGACCACTAGCCCCGTTCTACTATTTTAGCTTGTAAAAACAATTTAAACTGCGTTCTTTTTGCAATGCTACACACATTATTTGAATCTCAGCTGATTAAACCTGTTAGATGAGAAATATCCTGCTGTGCTTTTATAAGCCAGGAAATTAGCAGCATGTTCTGCTGGGATTCATTTGATCACCCGTATCATCTTATATGTAGCAAATCTGTTTGCATTATAAATGTCAGTCTGTGAATTATAATGTGAAAATGTTTCACCATACAAATGCTAATGAAATCCTTCCTTCATGGTGTTATAAAACCTGCCAGGATTAGATTAATGCTGATGTCATTTCTGATGTCATGTACTATTACATATCTATCCCGTCTCTTGTGTACACAATATTTGATGTATGTCCACTAAATGTGATAAGGGTTCACTTAATAGGTTTCAGACAAGGTATGTGTATTTTTATTTACAACACCCCAATCGATGACTTAATTTATCCACCCTCTAGCACAAGGCTATTATTGTAACGTGTCCTGGCTGTAGAAAACGCACAACGGAGGATATGAAGAAATATAAAGTCTTTAATAGTAAACTCGGGAGTAACATAACGTACACATTAACACAAACAATAACTGATAAGGGACTGAACAGAACAGGGAGTATACATATACAAGCAGACTAAACAGAACCAGCTGACAAGACTTAACTGATTGGAAACCATAGAGACTAACGAGACAGGTGCAGACGAGACAGAACATAATTTTGACAAATTTACTGCAGCCATAAAGCCTCTATTTTTATTTTATTTTTTACATATGTATATACTGCTGTTCAAAAGTTTGTCTTTGCACTGCTGTTCAAAATAAGTATCTTATCCTCCCCAAGGCTGCATTTATTTGTTACAAAGTACAGTAAAAAAAAAAAGTAACATTGTGAAATAGTTACAGTTTAAAATAACTTGTTTTCTATTTTGCCTTAAAATGTAACTTAAGTTGAATTTTCAGCAGCCATTACTCCAGTCTTCAGTGTCATTCATTTGAAATAGAGATCTTTAGTAAAATTACTGTCACTTTTGATCATTTAAATGTATCCTTGCTGAATAAGCTGAATTTAATTGTTACAATTAAATTTTTCAATAGGCCAAGTTGAATTTGTGTGAATTGAATTTTATAAGTTGTAGCAACAGTCTGTTAACATGGGCTCAACAGTAATATGTTGAGCCAATGGGAAAAAAAAAAGTTGACCAAACCGTGTTTTTAACGAGGTCCGTTGTTATGGCAAGAAGGAGGCGGGGATCGGCGAACATTCAACAATTTAATAATAAAATAAACAAATAGAAAATGAAAATATAAGCCAGCAGTGTCACGATTCCACACAGGAAGCAGAAGATCCAAAAGCAGTATCTTTATTCAATCGTTCTCACAACAGTCCAGTCCAGGCAAGGGTCGAAATTTAAATAAGCAGACTGATCTCATGAACTGGCGTATTTCTACATTTTAGACCTACATCTACATAGATCTACATTTTGCTTCGTTTCGCTCGGACTTTTATCGGCGCGTACATACACGCTGAATCACTCGAACATTTAACAGCGTAGACACGCAAACACGCGGATAACTCAAAATGCGTATAGATAACACGCCACTTGACTTGAAAGTGGCGTGTATGTTTACGCAAAAGTCATGATGTCATGTTGAAACAAGCAATCCATACATGAAAAACAGAACAAAACTGGCAAGAACACAGGACTCAGAAGTGGTATGACGAATAATAAGGACTCCGTAACAAACACTAAACAGGCAGGGTATTTATACACAGAACATGACAATCATGATGGGGAAGAGCAATGAACAGTGAGGAGCGCAGGCAAGGATTGTGGGGAATGCAGTATGCATCCAAAAGTGAATGACACCGTGGGGAAAGAGGACCTCTAGTGGACACCAGGGAACATAAACCAGACACTAGCTACGTTTACATGGACACAATCGGATTGAAATCAATACGATTGATGAATCCGATCAAGGTGTTTACATGACTGATAAATAAAGCGAGCGGGTTGATGTGCGCGTTTATATGTCACAAGATTCAAATCGGAATTGATTTTTTGACATGCGCACACTGCACGAATATCCCACTGTTCAAGCATAAGCATAACTATTCTCACCTATTGGTTCTGTATTTGTTTTAAACAACAGACCCGTCTTTTTAATTCATATCCGTCTCTGGTCATGATTTGGAGACGATGAGCATGAACCGTTTTGCCGTGCTGATTGTATTTATCACGCAGTAAAACCCCGCGCCCAAAAGTGTGGATGAGAATGTAAAACAGGCACTGCTGGGACGTTGTCCTGCTTCACTTCACAGACATGGAGTGAAATGAGAATTTTTTAATAACGGAACATTCATTCATATGACACTTTATTCAACAGGAAGAACAGCTCATTCCGTGCGTCATGCGTCATTACGCTATTTCAACGTCATTGCACATGCGCAGTCCTTTTAGTTTCGGTTTTCAATACGATCAAGTGTTTACATGTTCTCTCGCTTGGATTACAAAAGGAGTAAACCACCTCTTTCAATCCGATCGAAATTCTAGTCGGATCGATTAAGGTGTTTACATGAAGGTCTTTTAGTCCGATTGAGCCGTCAATCCGATTACAAGGGTCCATGTAAACGTACTGTGACAAGCAGCCCCTCATGGACGACTGCTGGGTACACAAAACAGAAACAAAACACAACATAAAATCAGGCCTGTTCCTTTTCGATCTCCACTGCCGTCGCTCCACGTTTAATGCTTCCGCTCCTCCATGAGAGCTACTAGACCGGTGGGGTTGTGCAGGTGTCGCTCATTAGTAATCATGCCACCGGCCTCGCGCCATCCTCTCACGGCCCTCGACCTCGTCCTGCTCGCCACAGAGTTGTTGGTCTAATTAAACATTTTAAATTGTTGTAGCTGTTGTTAATTTTGTACTGTCCTAAAAATAGAAATGTATACTAATTAGTTAATCAGAGATTATTGTTAGTTAACAGAAGTTGCTATAATGTTAATATTGCGTTAATCATTTGTTCCTGTGTAGTCTGTGTGACCAGGCATTACCTTTACAGTAAGTAAATCAAATTAAGAGTTAACAGATATTAAGCAGGCAGTCTAATATGAAGACTTGTAGTTGATCTCACGGGAATTTTACGAGGTGGCTAATTCGTAACAATTCATTTGACCTCACTCGTACAAATTAGTAAGATTTTGCTAAATCGTACATATTTTACGAATTGGCCAATTCGTATGAATTCGTATGAATGACCTACCCCTGACCCTGCCCCTAAACCTAACCATCACGTGGGTTTAGACAAATCGTATGAATTCGTACGAGTGAGGTCGTACGAATTAGCCACTTTTTAATCACTCGTACAAATTCGTACGAATTGGTCGTGAGATAGGGTAGGAATGTCTATAAATTGGATGAAGTGTTCCCTATAATAAAATAAAAATTGTGTAATTATGTAATTATATATTTAAAAAAA